TTCCGGATATGCAAGGCTGGCATAAAGTGAATGATACACCGTCGCAAAACTGCATTCCTGGGTCGTGCGGAGATGCATCCGGTTTGGGTACCGGCGGATAGCAGGTGAACGCTAAGGTGGGTTTCGAACCAGTGACAACGCCCGTCTGGGTTTTTTTTTTGCGCCGAGTCGAACTGCGGGATTCGAACTCGAGACCCGTTGCATATCCGGATATGCAAGGGTGGCATAAAGTGAATGATACACCGTCGCAGGAGGCAAATCTTCTCCGGTGTAGATGCTCGAGAGGAGTCTGAGATCTCGAGTTGGTGCGTGCAGTCGCTTGAGATCTTGCGACAGAGGTGGAGATTCTGACTTCGCGCCAAAGGCGCCTAGAGATCGTGTGGGCCGACTGGAGATTGCAAAATGGCGCGAAAAGAGGGTGGAGATCCTTTTGCATTGTGAATGAATCCATAGCGCATCTCCTTGAAGGTTTGAGCCCCCCTCCTCCCCCGGGCCCCCGAATCGAGATTGGGGATTGGAGATTGGAGATGGAGATCGGAGATCTGACTGAATCCGGCCTAAGATGACGACGTTGGAGATTGGAGATTGGAGATGGAGATCGGAGATCTGACTGGATCCGGCCTAAGATGTAGCGACGCTGGAGATTGGAGAGTACTGGAGAGATGGAGATCGGAGAGCTCCCCAGCCCGTGGTGTTTCATCGATTTTTTTGTTTTTTTTTTAGATAAAGGTTCTGTGCGCGGACGGCCCGGGGAGCCTCCGGCGCCATTTTAATCTGCTCTCCTCTTCATGGCCTGCGACGCCTGGCTTGAGCTTGGAAGTGTAAACGAGTCCGCCAGGGCGGTCCTGCAAACTCTCACGTATTGTCAATACAGCAACCAGGAGCTATGTACTGAATCTTAGACACTTCTGGCACCTGCACGACTTCTAAGGGAGACTATAAACGCAGTGCGATCCGCCTTTTCTTTATCTGAAAGTGCACAGACGCGACCTCTTTTTTCCAATC